TAAGCTTATGTTTTAAACCTTTTTTATTTTGAAAAAACCTTATATTTTAAATTGGTCTTTGCACAATGTTTTTTTCGTCGACACCTAGTTAGTTTGAATAATTTATTATTTACATTTTTATTAATACGAGTTTTTATAACTAATTTTGAGTATATAAATTTTATTGAAAATATATTGTATCATGGAACGACTCAGTAAATATGTATACTTATTATACCTCATAGATTAAGTAGCAAGAAATATAAATATAACTCAATATAAGATTATTATGTAAGTAATGTATGAATATTCATGTGATAAAATATATGTATAGCAAACAACTTAAAATATTAAGATTTTTCAACAAGATTTCAATATAATCTTATCCACATATATATACAATATCCAAACTACAAAACATAAAAATTATAAGTTGTTGATCATGCAATAGCTAGTTGTATTTACCAAAATAAATCACTTTCAGCATGACACGACATGTTTGTCCTTCAACCTAAACTTGTCATGTTCCCATAATAAAATAATTATTGTATTATAATAACATGAAAAAGCAAAGATAAACTTGTATGCAAAGAAAATAACATAACATACAAGCAAATAGCCAACTATATAAACATCATCAACATCAATTTATCAACAACAACCATGTGCTAAACTTAAACAATATATAATAATCAACTCATCAAATAAACTTCACAACATTTATGTAATTCAGCAATTTTACAACTCAACAACTTGATAATATAATATACAACTCATCGATGTACCAACACAATATTTTCACAACACTATAATTTTATGCGTCGTCACACATTTCAATTAAAAGATTTCTTACAATATAGGTGAGCAATCTAAGTAGCTTGACATTACCAAACCAATACAACATAACTTTTTTGACTTGTTAGATTAACAACAAAGTTGGATATCAATACAATATGATTTCTCAAATTTTTTCACTTACACTAGGAAAATCCAATACCACTATCTAAAATAAAATAGTTTGGGTGTGAGCTTAGCATGATATTAATATGCATCAACTAAGTATATATGGAATTAACTCACCGACTATCCTCTAAATATTGTGCACCTTTCTAACAATCAATTAAGAATTTTACATATTGATTTCATACCTTACACAAATTGACCACTTCTAAACCAGTATGTACGATATCAAGTAAGAATTTACAGGGGACTCAATACTCCACTTAAGGCAACAAACTTGAGAAGGGTTTTTTAACAATTTGACTCTTAGAACACCACAACACATATTCATACAATGAGATATTTCAACTTTTAAAACAACATCTTTCTAGTCCTAAGATCACAACACAACTCAACTTGCATCATATATGTTATCAACACAACAACATGCCTCATGCATATCACAACACATTTCAACACAACAACATGTTTCATGTATATCACAACATAGGAAAAAATATAACTTTAGAAACTACAAGTTTTTTAAAAAAAGTGTCGCTTCAAGCTCAACAGGGCACACTCTAAGTGAGCTAAATTTGCTCCAAACCCTCAACAGCTCGCTTTGAGCAAGTTTAGATAGAGACTCCACCTGGGAGATGAAGCTAGCTCGCATAAGCAAGTGAGTACTCACTTTGAGCAAGTGAAATTGTCTTAGAGTGACGAAATGGGCACTTTGAACAAGTGAAGTCAGAGACCACCTCTGAAATGATTGAACAAGCTCACTTAAGCAAGCCACATGGACACTTTAAACAAGCATATGCAACAAATACAACATATTCAAGAACACGATTCATCAACTTAAACAACACAACTTCTCTCAACAATTTCAATCATCAATCCATATCAATTCCAAATCAACGTATATACATCATAAACAACTCAAATCCATCAAAGTAAGCAACATGCATCAACAAAAGATCTAAAATTATCATTCCAATTCCAACACCAAGAAAACCCCAAAACGCATCCCTTAGGGTTCTACGCTTCAAATTTCAATATAAATCATGATTCAAGCATGAATTCAACATAACAAATCAACATATTCATATTGAAAATTAAGTCACAAGCTTCCTTTGCCTCGAATATTCCAAAAGTAAGGGAAAGAAGGAATAACAACGAATAATGCGACTTTTCGAGCTCTCATTTTATGACAACCTCAACTTTTGATTCTCAACTCCCAAGCTTTAAATTTCAACTCAACCACTAAAATCTCTACTTTGAAGAAGGATTAGAGCACTTTTATGAATCAAAAAGAAAAAAAAAGGTCTTTTTTACCTGCAAGGTCTATCTCTCTAAAATGTTTAAGAAATGAACTTATGAAGTTCAAGTTCTCGAAAATTTTGATATACCTTTCCCCAAACTTGGTCAACTTTAACCTCAACATAAAACAACCCCAAATAACTAAACTTTTAAGAATTCCTTAATCCTTGGAGTTTTAAAACATCAAAGCAACACAAAATCATTAAAATATTAAAACTTAAATAAACAATAATTCACAACACAATGTTACAATTTTTTTCCCAATAATACAAATTTTTGTTCTCGAAAATCTGCTTACTTGGAAAGAGTTATGGATATTGACCTTTGATATTTTCTTCTACCTCCCACGATAAACTCATTGGTAACTACATCTCGCACAAATTTCATTAAGTTTATGGATTTGTCTCTAAAATCCTTTAACTTGTGATTAACAACAACCAATTTATTCTCATAGGTTAGGTTCTCCTTAACTTGCACCACATTTGATTCCACCACATGACAAGTTTCATGCTTACACTTCCTTAACTTTGCCACATGAAACACATTGTGTAAGTTGAACAAAAATGGCAATAATGTCAACTGAAAAGCAACTGAGCCTATACAACAAAATCTAATAAGGTCCAATAAACTCAAGAGTCAGGTTCTTGAATTTTATTGCCCTTCCTACTCTTGTTGTGGGTGTCACTTTCAGACAAACATGCTATCCTAAACCAAAACCAAAACTTGCTTATTTTTATATGTATTAAAAATATATTTGTTATATATTTTAATAATTTTTTCTTTAAAATACTTAATATGCATACTAAAATTCATGTTTAGGGCCCTCTACCATGATCTTTATATTACTTGGGGATAAAGGGTTTCACAACGTTGTTTGTGAGCTTCTCTATCAACAATTTAGCTCATTAGACAATCTACTCACAAACATCACCTTTATGTGAGACTTATTAAAAAAATTCAACATCTATTATTGCAATTCACAAGAGGGAAATGTTGGTATCCAATACAATTATAAAGAAATATTTGTGCAAATTGATTGATTAAGTATGGTTCTTTTGAACCACTTTTTAAGCTGGTATCAAAACATATCAAAGTTTGTATTAGCAATTTTTGTTATTGGGCATATCTGCCATTCACTATCAGAACATTCGCAAATGCCTAGCCCTATAAATTTCACGTTTGAGATGTCTGGTATTCGGTGTGAGAGATGTATGTTAGACACCCCACATCAACTAAAAATAATATCAACAAAATGTATATAAGTGAAGAATAATAATCACCTTATAAATTAATTTTATAAGATTAAATTAAACTCTTAACTCATTTTTTAATACATTGTTATAATTGACCCAAAATTTGAATTGTTACGAGGGTTGTTTGCCATCACACCTTGTTTACAATTCAATGAAAACTTGTAGTAGCCATTATTGTGCATAAGGGGTTTATCATGATGCCATGAGGTTTTTGCTTAGACAAATAGACTCCTCATCCTTCATACAGTCCAATAGCGAAAAGACCTTCTTGTGTAAATATTTATAATAAATAATTTAGATTATCATATAAAATTATTTTTTAATTAAAATAAATAAATTGTTAATAAAATCAAATATACAAATCAAACTAAAAGGATAATTAGTTGAGATGATTTAGTGAAATAATTACTTTTTTTTTGTTCGTTCCTGGAGTATTCACTAGTAGTGACTAATCTCCTCGTTACTTTGGAGACACCTCAAAAAGTGAAATAGCTGGTCCCAAGATTTAACGCGACTACATATATAATGCAGGATTCAAAACCCCTGATTAGTTATAAAGATAATAAGTGAAATGTACCGCCCAAAAAGATAAAGTAAAAAAATAGTATGTTAAAAATTTATAATCGAGAGAATGATAACTTCACTCTTCAAATTAAAATATTATAATTTACAATATAGAAATAGATTAATTGATAATTTATTAAAAGTAAGTTTGCGTAATTGAGGTAATAAACTTTCGTTGATTTTATTTCGGAAATTAATAAATTTATCATGTTTTTTCATTTGTTTTGGTTGATACCAAAAAAATTTAATGTCCCAAAAGGAAAATTCAAAGCATTAGCATTTTGAATTATTTCTGCAATTTTTTCAAACATAAAATCATCTCTCCCTAAATTAGAATAGATAGGATTTTTTTATTCGACGAAAGTATTTTTAATTTTTTAGTTCATTATTTATTTTAATTTATATTAATATTTCTGTTTCTAAATTAAATTTCAACATTTTCAAACAAATTATCAATATGTAAAAAATAATTTAATAATAATTCAAAATAATCTTAAATATTATACATCAAATAAATTATAAATTATTTATCATAAATTGGGAATATTATTTATGTTCAAAAATGATTTAGTATAAATTGAATTTTTTTTAACAAAATAAATAATTATCCATTTCGTAATTTTTTATATTTATTTTTAAAATAATAAAGGTAAGAGTACCTCTTTTTTCATCTAGTCTATACTAATATATAAAGGAATTCCTTCTCAATAATTATCTTAGTCTTCACTTTTTTTTTTACCATTATACCCTTATATTTTAAAAAATTAAAAAAAAATATTTTTAAATCATTTAAGAATTTAAAATTAATAAATTAATCATAATATTAATTAAATTAATATTTTTTTTTTATTTAATACGTGTCTCGACTCATTAGTTTATATAAATGAAATAGTTCCTTATTTATTTTTTCTTTAAAAATATAAACTCCGCTGCACACATCTTTTGTTTATGTGTATACGTCTTGGACGGTCCCGTTTCCTGTGTTACATACAACACAAGCTTCTTCTGCTTCTTTCTTGTTTTCTCTCTGCCAATTCAAATTACTCTTTTCTCTGCAAAATTTTCAGGTTGCGTTTTCCGGGATTTCGCGTTCCGCGTAATTGCGTATCGTTTTTCGAGATCGAAGCCAACCTTTCAATCTCCGCTTAATTCCCTTGCCTTTCCGTTTTCCCCTGAGTTTTCAAAAGGGACAAAAAAGGACTCAATCTTTGCGTTCTTTCATTCCTTGGCTGCTCCATTGTTCGATTCAGCGTTTCGAAACCCACCTCCGCGTGTCACGTGACTCGCAGAGCGGTTCAAGATTCAAAACCCGTGCCAATTCCGTCATAAATTACCTATTCGCCCAAGCCTCGCGAGGTTTGGGTCCCGAATTGCGCGATTCGAATGCAATTAGGGTTTTGCGGTGCGCGGAATCGTCGTGGCCGATGGTTGCAGCATGATAGTTAAGCGGACGATGAAAACCGAAACGCCGAACTTTAAACGGTGTAAGATGGAGGAGGCCGATTCCGGGAATGCGATTCCGAAGAAGCGTAGGGTGAACGGGTTTTACTCGCTGGGAATGCCCGGCGACGCTGAATATTTCAGCAGTGGTTCTGGTTCTTGGAGCAGTGAGGGATCGTATTGGGGTGGTGGTGAGGTTCAGTCCAATTCGAATTTGGTGCCGTTTAATCGGAAAACGGCGAAGGAGGCACGCCGGCCGCCGCTGCTGCGGTCCTCACGCGGGCGCCTCCAGAAGCTTCCGTCGCGGTTCAATGATTCGGTTCTTGACACGTGGAAGAAAGCGGAGGAGGAGAACGAGGAAGGAGAGTCGTGCTTTGAAGATGACAAGAGTTTTGTGGAGGATGGTAGGGGTGGCATTGAGAAGTGTGACAGTGTGTGTTATTCGTCTAGGACTGTTAAGGCTGAAAGCAATACGTCTGGTCTTAGTTTTGAGGGTGTGGACCAAAAGCCCAATGGTGGGAAGAGGAAAGAGGTTTACAAGCCTGGGGATTTTGCTTTGGGGGATATAGTTTGGGCTAAGTGTGGGAAGAGGTATCCGGCTTGGCCTGCTGTGGTCATTGATCCTGTCTTGGAGGCTCCGGAGTCTGTTCTTAGCTGTTGTGTTCCGGGTTCGCTTTGCGTGATGTTTTTCGGTTATTCGAAAAATGGAACTCAAAGGGTATGTAAATTAAGTGAAGTTCTCTTCGAGTCTTGTTTATGTTGTCATGGTTTTGTGTTTTTGATTCTGTGCTCTAAAGGAGTGATATGTGCAGGACTATGCGTGGGTGAAACAGGGAATGGTGTTTCCCTTCTCGGAATTCATGGACAGGTGTGTGGTTGAATGATGTCGAATGTTGGGTGTAGTTGTTTTGTTAGAATGTTGGATGTTTGGTCGATAAAAATTATCTTTGTTCAGGTTTCAGGGGCAGACCCGGTTGTACAAGAGCAAACCGAGTGACTTTCGCATGGCACTGGAGGAGGCAATGCTGGCAGAAGATGGTATTCTCGAATCACATTTGGGAGGAGAGGAAGTAGCTGATGCAGAAGCTCATCCTGATGGACTTATGGAGGCCACACGTTCATATGTTGACGATGAATATTTTGGTCTGGATCAGGTGAGATTATTATTTATTTATTTATAATTTATGACTGGATGAGAGATTTTATGAACTTTGTTATGCTTAAGAAAGAGGTTTTAGTCATGTTTAGTTATTGTTGACAAAGGCTGCGGTGTTCAAGGTTATCAATAATGGATAACAGCAGCCTATGATGGTGAGCCAAAAATCTGCAATAACGTGGCGGACAAAAAAAAATATACATGTGTACAAAAACTTTAAAAATAGCAAAAATAGAATAGAATCATCATGAATATATTAAAAAGAGCAGAATCATAGACTAAAATCTCAAAAGAACAATGTCATTATTCCTCAGTTTCATTATCTCATCACATAAAATCATAAGCATAACAATTAATGAAATGTTCCCTTCCTATGTCTAAGGAAACATGACTTTGATTTTGGGTGCTTGATATTGTCTATAAGTGAAAAAAGAATTGGGAATAACATTGTATTTTTAATAAAGAAACAGAGAACAAAAGAACAGTGAACACAATTTTGAAATTATACAAATGAAGAACTAAGTATTGAAGAGATGAAGAACTTTAGCAGTCAGTGTCACACAGAGAATAAGAGACGAAACATGAAAAACAGAGAAATAAAGGTGAGGAACATCTGAAGAATGTAGAACAGATGGAGAACAGGTAGGAAAAAAGAGAGAAAGAAATGGATGGAATAAAAAAATGCAAAAACTTCTATCTCATTGGCATTGTTTGCCGAAGTTCAGGCCATTGGCAAGGAGGGTGACTGGAGAGCTGCCATCAGACTTTGGGCACATGTATGGATGTTAAACAGAGAAAGAAGAGAAACACTAGGTTTCTTTGTGAATGTTAATTAGAGAAAAGTGCAAGAGATATTTGGGGGCTCTCTGAAAAACCCTTAAATGGGCTTTTTAAAAAAACAACAAAGAATTCTGCCATGGCTGCCATAATTACAGATATGGCAGATGCCACCATAAAACATAAAAAAATGGATTGCAAATGGTGATCAAGCTTCAAACTGCTACATTATTCCTTTATAATGATGCCATAATTGTATTTTGACAACATTGACTGTAGTCAATATGAAGGTTATCAAATTGGGATTCAAATTATGAATTGCCGAGCTAATTTTTGAATTGAATCTTAAGATTCAAAGACGATGAAAATTTAGTTTTTAGTCAATTTAAATTACGCTTTTGCAATCTATTTATCACATTTGCAAGTATGGTATTTTAGTTTTTCATGGCTGTAATGCAAATTTAAAAGGATTAAGAATAAGAACTGTATGAGCCTACCGCTTAGTTAAAAAATTATTCAGCCCAACAACAAAAGAAATCCCATGTCAATATCTTTTTAGTCATTAGGAGCTTTGTTTGATAAGCTAAAACAAACAGGTATATGCATGTCCAACATCTTTAACTATTTATATATTAATTCAAATTCTCATGGGGGCTGCACAGATATGTCATTGATATAGTGAAGCATGTATTGTAGACTGACTTGCCATAATGCCTATTTGTCTGAGAGTAATTGTGCGTAATCATCCCAGGCTTGTAGTACTTTTAGGATATGAATTTATTTATTCATAAAAATTAGTTAAAAGGGATTATAAATTTTCAACTGTCCCAATGCACCGCGTTGATCACAGAATTTTATCATCAATGTTATGTTCTATGGATTAATCTGGTAAACATCAAAATGATTTTCTTTTGTTTCAAGTTCTGCCTGAAATTTCAATTTTTATTAACCCTGATTCCCTGAAATTTGAAAATATGAGTTTGATTACCCTAAACTTTTGGAAGAGTGTTCTTTTCTAATATACATGAAAAGTTGACAACATATATAACTGCAAGCCTTTAAAGAAAGCTTGAGGGTTTTCTTCTTGCTCTGGCCTCTGTATTTCTTTCTTTTCTAATTCTTGATGTTGTTTCTATCGGGTCTCCTGGTTTATTTATTTATTTTTTGCATTAGCTTATCCTTAGCGTATCATATTCAATGATATATATAACTTCAGAATTCATTTTATGATATCATAGATAATGTAAAAATATACTGGTATTCTACATCTGTTATCAATGGTGGAAGGCAAAAATTCCGCCATGTGAACCTGCCATTGCAGCCTATGGTGCTGCCATTACAGGCCTCTTTTCACAAATTTCCTATGTTGGTTGTCAAGAAATTTGCCGCTGCCATTCTACCATGGCAGCCATGGCACTGCCATTTAACAACAAAGGTTTCTGTGGACATCATTATTGCAATAACATAGTAATTTGTCTATCATTATTTTTATCTGTAGGTTTACTTATATCAACTTTGTCAGCTATATTATGTGTTTGATTTCACTTGTGTTCTCAATTCATACTCTGGATAAATATTTTACAATTTTTTCTGGGAATGCCTTTCTATACATCCGTGTGAGAGATCAAAATAATCTTGTGGTGAATTGTTGATGCTGTCACGTTGTTAGTTGTTATTGTTAATATGTTACTTGATGTTTTGTCCTGTAGTAGTGATAGTTACTCTGAAAAGTAGATTTGGATAAGAGTTAATTGTATAAAAATGTATTTTTATATTATGTTATATGTATATTTAATCCAGTGGATATACTGTGCAGGATACAAGGTATTGTGCTGGCTGTGGTATGTTGTTGCCATGCAAAACCATGAAGAAGATTAAGGATTCAAACTGTACACCCCAATTTTATTGCAAACATTGTGCTAAGGTTATGCAGATTACAGAATGGTTCATTTAAAATGCTATCAAAATCTTCACTAAATAATTTTGTAGCAGATATTTGATTTTCATTTTTTTTATGTCCTTACAGTTACGAAAATCAAAACAATATTGTGGCATTTGCAAAAGGATTTGGCATCATTCAGATGGTGGGAATTGGGTGAGATTCTCTATTTTGTCAATATAGTTTTTTTTTAATTTTTATTTATTTATAAATTAACATGTGTTTTGGTATACTCAAAAGTGAGACATCTTTTGTGAATTGGGACTGAACTCTGTATCAGGTGTGTTGTGATGGTTGTAATGTGTGGGTTCATGCTGAGTGTGATAAAATTTCCAGCAGACTTTTCAAGGTGCTGTAGCATTCTTAACTAAGCAGCGTTTATTTATTTTTTAGTTCCTTCTTTCATGATGTGGCCAAAGATATTTGATTGACTTCTTGTTACAGGATCTGGAAAATACAGATTACTATTGTCCAGAGTGCAAAGAAAAATTCAATTGTAAATTACCAGCATCACAAACACACAAGGAAAAAATCAAGTATGTAGTTATTGTCTGTGTCCTCCTTTTTCTTCTAAATTAAAGCATTAATTTTATTCTGAGTCGTATGATGTGATATCTTTTGAGACAGATCAATAGAGAGTAGCCAAAAACCTATGATACCTGAGACCGTATTGGTGGTGTGCAATGGCATGGAAGGAATTTACATCCCAAAGCTTCATCTGTAAGCCTTCAGCATTTCTTGGATATTATGAGATTGATAATCTGATTTAAATATTTTGACTACTTATATATGATGGAAGAATTTTTTTTGTACTTCCTGCCTTAAGGTCTTGAATTCATGTTCCTGGAGATGAACTGTCTCCATTTCTTTACTTTAGTCTTTCCTTTGTCCCCAGGAATTTTTGAAGGTAGTTCATGTTTGTATATTATTTTTTCCGTCTAACTAATGTATAAGCATTTGTTTGATTTATAATTTTGTAGTTGACTATTGTGTTAGTGTTGATCCAGTATTATTCCAGAAAAGGAATTTCCTTAAATAGTTTTGTTTATCAACCTTACTAAACTCTATGCCAAAAAATCAGTTTGAGAAAATATAAGAGAACCTTAGGTTAATGCACATGGTTCCTTCCCAGAAGAATTCCATTGAGCTGGTTGTGATTGCCTTTTTTCCAGAGTCATGTGCAAGTGTGGCTCTTGTGGTTCAAGGAAGCAGACACTTAGTGAATGGGAAAAGCATACAGGTTGCAGAGCGAAAAAATGGAAACATAGTGTGAAAGTGAAAAGCACAATGCAACCACTGGAAAAATGGGTATGTAATATTTCTTGCTATATTTGAGGGATGCCAAGTATTTCTGGTGGTCTCTGTTGGGTGGTTTTTAAGTTAACAGTCATAGTCATATCACATGGATTTCTTGAATACTGCCTACATCAATTTTATTTTCCATCATCTCCCTATTCTGAGCTTGTATACATTGTGTTTTTGGGTGTGTATATCAGACTGTTAGTGTTATTTTTTTTTTTATGTGTTGTACTTCTTTCTCATTTTTGACTTAACATAAATTACTTCAGATGGCAGAACACATTCCACTTGAGGGAATACCCCAGCAGTTAGATCAACAGCAGGTGCTGGCTTTTTTGCAAGGTAAATGTGCATTCCTTGTAAACTTTTACACACTGAAGCCTTGTATTTTTTGTAATTGACATTTGACTAGGTCTTATGGCACATAGCAATACATGTTTTCTCTTGAATATATCTTTAAAGACAAATTTGTTTTTCTTTTACCTTGTTTTCACAGAGAAGTACGAGCCAGTTAATGCAAAATGGACAACCGAAAGATGTGCTGTTTGCAGATGGGTTGAAGACTGGGAAGATAACAAAATGATTATTTGTAACAGGTGTTTTCATTATTGGTCATGATCTTTTCCCTTAAGTTGTAGAATTTTGGGGTTATTTTGTATTATATTTCAAATTTATGAGGCTTTGATGGTAGTACCATTGATCAATGTAAGTTTGCTTGTTCCTGTTGCAGATGCCAAATAGCAGTCCACCAAGAATGCTATGGGGCAAAGAATGTTAAAGATTTTACTTCTTGGGTTTGTAGAGTATGTGAAACTCCTGACGTTGAGAGAGAGTGTTGCCTCTGTCCAGTAAAAGGTACGCCACACTTAGTATTTTGGCAGTCTGACTTCTATTTGTTCTTCTGTTTATATCCTATGGTGTTGAATCCACCATTTACTACTTTCAAAAAATATTGTTTTAGCTTTGGTGAATCATCAGTCTCAGGTGTTACCAATTTTGTCCATTTTCACATTGTCAAGATATCCTCTTATAAGCCTAAGCCTCATGTAAATGTGAATGTAGTTAAGAGTCCTAACATTATGAATTTGCCATTTGCTCAACCCTTGCTTTTACTAAACTTGGAAAATATGCTTTTCAGGTGGTGCTCTAAAGCCAACTGATGTTGAAATGTTGTGGGTTCATGTAACATGCGCTTGGTTTCGACCTCAGGTTGTTTTCCAAAACCATGAAGCCATGGAACCTGCCAGAGGAATCCTCAAAATCCCTCCTAATTCTTTTGTGAAGGTAGAAAGGCTGGCTAAAAGGGTGATATTGTTTTTTAAACAGTTCGTTTCAGCTGTATTATTGCCTCGAATGAATCTTGACTTATTATGACTTTTATTTGACCGGGGAACCAAAATGCACCTGAATGTATTGTTGGTGTAATCTAGTGATTTATTTTATTAAATTCTATACGTGTGGTCAAATTACTTTTGGACGATTATTCTCAAAACAGAAATTTCATTGTTCCAAAGTACTTTCTGCTCAAAAAGTGTTGTTAAAAAGCCCCTATTCTGACGCTCTAACGCTATTTTATGAAATTCCTTGAATCTGCGATCATGACTCTATCCACAATAGCGGTGGCTATGGTGTCAAGTTTGCAGCATGTATCCTACATCCTCTACTCATCTTTGTTGAGTCTCCAACTTATTGAACTTGTGTTCATTTTATGTCAATATTTATACATTTTAATTTTATTTGCATACAACTTATGTTTTCTATACATGTATAACTGATATATATATATATATACACACACACACACACACATATTAACTGCTATGCAACTTTTTCTATATGCCCAATATGCTATCCGCAATGCTGTGATATAACAGATTATTGGCTTTCTGCTATTTTCTGCAATCCACAATTAATAACACTGCTCAAAAGTAAATTCTACACTAATAATCCAAACATGCACTATAATCTTCAATTTTGATTTTTCTTATTGTCCACTTAGATAGTGGTGTAGTTATATAATCACTAGGCTTTCCTTTTATATATGTGTGTGTGTGTGTGTTGCTGAGCTGTACTCATGAACTCATGTATGGTTCTTGTCACTATGGCTGCAGACTTGTGTGATCTGTAAACAGAGCCACGGTTCCTGTATAACTTGTTGCAAGTGTGCTACTTATTTTCATGTGATGTGTGCATCAAGGGCTGGATATACAATGGAAGTAAGTTTTGTCTGTCTTTTATGTGTAAATGTTGATCTGATTTATTTTTTTCTTGACTTGTGTTTTTTTCTTCATAAACCTAGTTTTCTGCTTTTCTTGTGGAGGCCAAAGGCATCCTTCATATTTTCATCCTAAATATGAATATATTCTGTGGCTGTTTGAATTTAATTATATGTGGTTGGCAAGAGCTGGGGAAATATGTTGATATTGTTTAAACTTACAGTTGCATTCCATGGAGAAGAATGGGACTCAAATAACAAAGAAGCTAATATATTGTGCAATCCACAGGTTTGACTTTGACTTCCAGTGTCGTGATTATATCTAATGTTATTTTCCATGTCTTTTTTAGTAAAGAAATTTTATTTTAATTCCATCTCAGGGTCCCAAATCCAGATTCAGTACTGGTTGTACACACACCGCTGGGGGTTTTCTCTCCCAGAACTTCACTTCAAAATCAGAAGGGATGCTTCAGGGGATCAAGGCTAATTTCATCAAAAAATATGGAGCTTAATGAATCTTCAATCACTGTAAATGATATGGTTGAGCCGCTGTCTGCTGCCAGATGTCGTGTGTTCCGAAGGTCTCCTAATAAGGTGATGATCGTAAACATACTTAAACAAACATACTATTATTCAGCCACTTCTGGTAATCTTATTGCATCCAAATGTCCAATGCTATTCCTCATTAATGTTAACTTGCTAATTACTCACACCGAGTTTGTTTATTTAAACTTAAAAAGTATTTCTAAAAAGTATTTTTGAAAAAGCAATTTTTTAATAAGCAAATAAGAGTTATTTATTAAAAAGTAGGAAACTGCTTATTTTTAAAAAATAAGTAGATAACTGTTTATTTTTAAAAAATGGCACTCTTTAGTAAAACAAGTTAAAACAAACAGACTCATTATCTATTATTATCAAGTTAGTCTCTTACAACACATTTTCTCCCATGTTGCCAGAGGGCAGATGTGCCAATAATTCACTTGCTGAGGGGACCCAGCCTTCATTCTTTGGGTGCAATAACTCAGTTGAATCACTATAAGGTAGTCTTTTGTGGCTAACATGATAAATGTTAGACCTTTTACTTCTGAAATGAACAACCTATTCTTGCTGAGTTGCGACTGTAATATGTTGGAATGAAAGGTCAATTTGTTATCTTATAAGCTTGATTTGTGAAGGATGCTGAAGAATCTAAAGTATTCACTTCTTTCAAGGAACGTCTTCACCATTTATGGGTAATTCATATCTCTCCATTTCCTTATCTGAATTTTTTCTATTTGTAATTTTAAATAGTTCTTTTTAATTTAGTTTCAATTATAATGTTTTGGTTTTCCAGAAAACGGAAAAACTTAGAGTTTGCTTTGGTAAATCGGGCATTCATGGATGGGGCCTTTTTGCTCGTAGAGATATACAAGAAGGAGAGATGGTAACTTAATATATTAATTTATGAGTCACTCAAATGTACGGTAAATACCTTACTGCATCTTCTTCCGAAGACATTAAGTTCATGCTTGTTATGCTTGTTTTGCAGGTTGTTGAGTATCGTGGTGTGCAGGTAAGGCGTAGTGTTGCTGATCTGAGGGAAGCAAAATACCGTTCAGAAGGCAAAGATTGCTATGTGAGTATCTTGTTTAAGATAGCCTTAAACAGAGTGAAGCCTTTTTGATAGTTCAAAAGCCTGTTTTGACAGGTTCATGAATGCTGTTAAACATTTGAGTTCAGTTACAGATAACCTTAACACTGTGTAAAATAAATTATGCAGCTGTTCAAGATCAGTGAGGAAGTGGTAGTTGATGCAACGAACAGTGGCAATATAGCACGTTTGATAAATCATTCTGTAAGTTATAAGCAGGCTTACCTATAAATATATGAATATTGTCTGTTTTTCTTTATTTATATTATGACATAACCCACAAAGTTGCTCAATACTTTTCTCGGGCATAAAAGGGAGGGGGGTATTGTTCTCAGCAACTTGGGCTTATCCTAAATTTAAACTTCATTATGCTACTAGATGACCCTATTATGTGGTTTTTATTTGTTCAGAAGCAGTTGATTTCCTTGTCCTTTAGTTCCTGTTTTGCCAAAAGAAAGAAGCAAAATGTGGCTAATGTTAGATTATGAATATTGTTTGAACATTAAATAATTCAAACACAATCATTCACCATGTGGTTTTTAGTAAGATAATACAACTATGGGCTAACGGCCGGAAAAAAGAAACTGATGTTCTACCTGACTTGTTTCAGTGCATGCCGAACTGCTATGCAAGGATCATGAGTTTGGGGGATGAGGAGAGCCGGATAGTTCTTATTGCCAAGACCAATGTTTCTGCTGGTGAAGAATTAACGTACGGTTTGTTGTGTTTGCATATTTTTTGGATGCGTGCGTGCTCATATGCAAGTGACATGTATCTTGCGTTGACATGAACTAATTTTTTTTCTTTGATTTTGCAACAGGTATGATTACTTGTTCGATCCAGATGAGCGGGATGAATTGAAAGTTCCCTGCCTTTGCAAAGCCCCCAATTGTAGGAGATTTATGAATTAGATTTAGTTTTGTTTTTCGCTCTTTGAGCAATTGCAGTTTACCAAACCACACTAAACATTTGTTCATTCAGCCATTTTTAATTTTTTTTTTACTAGTTTAGTGTAATTTGTATATCATTATTATTAAAAAATAAAATAGAAAACTTGAGTAAATGAGCTGGAGGCATTTTTGTAACTGCAAGGATGTTCTTCAAATTATTTGACATTTAAAGGCAATTTACATGAAGACAAGAGGTGTATAGAGTACATTTGTGCTAAAAATAATACATTTCAGACTTTTTCATGTAAACTCTTAGCCATACCTGTTATATTTTCTTTTTCTTTTCCGGGACAGATGTATAATTGGCCTGTACAAAATTAAAACCAAAATCGGTTTGGCGTTTATTGGTCAGAACCATTTTTTTCCTCAAAGCAATATTTGTAAAATGTTGATTTGCTATTTAATGGGGTCTATGAATACAACAAGAAAGTCTTATTCTACTGAGGTTGATTATATGGATCAAAGGATGTCATTCGGTTTAATTAAAGACTCGAGTTTCAACGTCAATTATCATGTGTTGGCTTGATATTTTTTCCCATTGGTCTTCTCTGCCTCCTCTATGAAGGACTAAAAATTATACAATCTACTGCTCTTAATGGTGTGTCTCGGGGCTCTCTTTTTAATTGAATTAACTATATTAATTTTGGGTGGGAGTTACTATTGGAGTAATTCTAAGTAGGTATTTCATTTAATAATTTGTGGTATACATTTAATTTTAATGATTTAATTGTTAAAATAAATGTTCTTGTTGAATAGATTAGGTTTACAAATGATATATAATATGTTGTGGAGTCATGTTTTACCTCTATTTTGAGGTATGTGGAGTTCACACATAAACAATGCTTACAAAGATAATTTTTGACTATTTTGTTTGTTTGGTTTACATAAATATAAGATAATTTATATGCTCATAGAATAATGTAAGTTTATGTTAGAATTAAGCATATGAGAAAGAGTACAACATTTAAAAAGGACTTGTCCCTTATGTCAGAGAATCTTATGATTTTGATATTTCATTGAACTTTTTATTCAATTCAATTAGAACTTTTGATCGTTGTCACTTTCTAAAGAATTGAAATTCATAATGATTTTCATTTTATCAATATTGACCAAATGATAGTCCTTTTTTTTTTCTTTAATAGCTTTGTTCACTTAGTATTGTATCTTAATTCAATCTATAATTAGTCATTTTTGTAGCCTAATTCTCTATGAAAGTATTGTGAGGACAATTTAACCCAAGAGACTAATTTATTAGGTGAGAAAATTGTATCACTTAAATATCACATTGAGCTTTTTATCCTACTTAATGCGAAACTCCTAATAATTTATATAGAATTATTCATCAAGTTCAAAATTTTTAAAATACTTGCTCTTATAGTGATTTTAGTTCTCAAATTTTCTATGCTTGGTCTTCTTTTGGGGCTTTTACAGGAAGTTTCAAAAAATCTAATGAAAACATAAATTAATCTTTAATTGTCAGTTTTAAGATAATGTAGACCATGTCCATAAAAAAAAAAAAAATAATGTAAGCCATGTGCATGAAAAAAATGTAAATGTTGGTGTATTTAATGCAACAATTAATGCTTTCAATAATTTGTTTTATAAGTATTGACAAAAACATTTTTTTTTGGTTAAAACATCTCGATTGTTTCCTTTTATGATACATGCATAGTGCAATAAGTTGGATAACGACCCTATTTCATTCCATGTACTTTATTGCCAGGAATTACATTGTCTAGTCTTATGTTCATTTGCTTTATCGCATCTGTGATGTAAAAGTTGATAGCCTTTATATTTGTATTTTTTTTTTCCATGAATGAATCTCGAAAACTCAATGATTTGATAAATTATATTAAAATTTTCTTATTATTTATTTTCTGTGTTATGGTTGATTCCATCAAATTAATTTTTTATTTGGGGAAAAATTAGAAGAAAAATAATATTTGATTGAAAATCTAAAATGTCGCTTAATATATATATATATATA